AAAGAAAAAACTGAAAATTGTTGCTTTCGTGTTTACGAACGTGTTAAATGAACCAACTCGACTCAAGTTCGGTTCGCTCATTTTTTTCAATCATTTAAATCATACAAATGAATATAACAGTGCAAGTAGATATATTTTTACTTAAAGAGTGAAAATCTTTTGATTGGAGAAAGAAAATTAGTCAAGTTGATAATTCTAACATGTCATAAAAATCAACAGAGAAAAAAAAAAAAAAACCAATTATTATATATATAATATCTCTTATTTTATATCAATTATTCCACTTAATATTTCAAAAGTATCAACTCTTTCTTTCACATACCACACAGACAAAAACCAACAATCCAATACAGACACATTCATCACCCATAAATCCTCATAGCAACACTGAAATCATAGCTAAAAGCAGATAATAATGGAACAAATTATCATATATACAAGATATATAGCCATAGAAATCAGGACATAGAAAACCTTAAATCGAGCTTGAACTAGGCGGCCCGTTTTGCTGCACCAGCTTCATCAGCGGCCAAAATATCTCCAGCCGGTGGAAGTTTCCAGTCGTCTAGTTCAAGTAAACGAAAACAAAATAAAAAATCAAAATCCGCACAAACATAACAACAGTACAGCTCAAAAATGAAAAAACCATCATAATGGATGTTCTCGAAAAAAAAAAAAAAACTAGTAACCTCGACAATGAAACGGGCCTGCCAAGAACCATCAGTGCTCTTCTCCATCGTGCCCTCGAGGATAGTTAATTCCAAGCGATGAATAACATCAGCAATCTCCAGAAATCCATTGCAGTCTGTACAGACCATCTGATTTATATAAACACAAAAAATTCATTACTATTTTTCTTGAATAAAAACAAAATTTTTCAAGAAAATGAAGATAAATATAAATTGATATGCGTTTATACCTGTATCATCATTTGTCCAGGATGATCGAGATCCTTCACAACAATGGGGCACGACAGTTTTTCACTTCCTAATTCGACTGCCCAGCTTTTTCCCTTCTCGAGGTCAGCTGGTTTTCTAGTCTTCTCTTCATCAAGTTCCTAAGGGTGTGTTTGTTTATTAATTTTTTCAATCAATACTTAATTCATATTCAAAATCTAAGTTAACATTAACTCAATTCCACTATTCTCACAGTATAATTAATAATATTAATCAATATTTCTTACACATCACATCAATATTAATTCAATATTCATCTACTTACATATTTTAACTAACCATCACTTCACATAATCTCTCTCCTACTTTTACATCAAATTAATTTAATTATTTTATTTTAAATATTATTTTACATAAACTCAAATTGCACTAACAACTAACCATACCACAATTTTCAAAATTAACTCCGATTAACAAAAAAAAAAACCTCGTTTTGAACGGGCTGAGTATGAGAGCTTACCGCACATTTGCAAACACGCCCTAAAAGGAAAATTCAGGATACGACTACTCGGGAAAACAAATCCAGATAACGAATGGGATTTTCTGAGATTATTACCTCTTTGTGATGATGTCTCAACTTATCAGCCCGTTCGGTTACGTTTCTTAAGAAGAGCATGTGCTTTATTGTCTTATCTAGGAGTCCATCAATGCTACACTGCATCAAAAAAAAAAAAATTCAAAAAGAGTTTTTCAAAACAAAAATGAAGGAAAGATATACAAGAAAAGAGTGACAGATAAAATAGCCATGGTATGCATGCATTTTTAGTCCCAAGGTTCTAACTTCTGGTCTCCGGTGACTTAAATTGCTAATAAAAAATCTATAAATTTGGAAATATGTTGCAATTTTCAGTCCTCAAAGATGACTGAAATACTAAAATTGCGGCAAAATATTAAATCACAGGACCGAAAGGCAAAATGTTTGAAATCTTCGGACTCAAATTGTTATGACGTTAAACCAACAGCACTAAAAATGCAATTTAGCCAATAGCCATACATTTTCACTGTTTGGCACAAGGTCCCGAAGCTCCTTGAGTCGCTCGTTCATCAGTTGTCTATCGCGTGGTTTAGGCCTCTGAATGTTCCCATTGCAAGCCTTTCTCTTTTTGGTAATCGGTAATTTTGATAAATTACTAGTGTCTACTGAGTCCAATTTATTTCTCTTTCGCTGCTCGTCAGAAAATTCGCTAACTTTGGCCAATTCAGATGCCGATAAGTCACAAGGAACTTCATATTCTCTAACTTGAGCACTTTTTTCGGATTTGTCGTATTTTCTGGGAGAAGATAAATTTTCCGATGAAGTAATGCTCGACTTGTTAGATGAATTATCGTCAGGGATTCTAGAAGGGTTAGCAACGGGAGCTTCCATTTCGATCATAGGTAATCTATTCGGTTCAAAGTCAAAATCACAAAAGGCACTTTCAAATATACTTTCACCTTCCCCAAAGGGAAAATCCATTAAAAATAAATCATTCTCAGTCATGAAGGGCCCATGATCTTCATACATCGGCTGAGATGGTTCGGCCCCATTAACCGTGGGCAGTGTTTGTTGTTGACCGAAGTCAACTTTGGAAAATTTTTCGAGCATATCGGCAACAAAACTCAGGTCTGAGTCGCCAAAATCTTGAACGGGAAGAAAGGTGGTATATTTATTGTCCGATGATTCGTTTAAATCATCTGGAGAATTAAAAGCCGAAAATCCAGAGCCGTATAAAGAGAGTGTTATTTGAGCCTCAAACTGGTTTTTCACACGAGCAACTAAAGCTGCATCTTCAGCCACCTAGATCGATCGATCAATCATTCATAAGCGAATTAAACAAAAAAAAAAAAAAAAATTAGCAAGCAAAAGAAGAACCAGAAGAGAGAAATAACAAATTATATAAAGATTATCAACAATTTTCCATTGACATGAGAAGCAAATTGGCCAAAATAATACTAACCATTTCGACTGATCCAAGCTGCAGAACTCCATGTGGCATCACAGGCAAAAGCAGAACTGTCTGCACGGATATTGAAAGGCATAGAAATTTTTTTCATCAGGTGTTATTTCAAAGTTCTTTTCTATTACACTCTGTAAGACCATTATCTATGCTTTGCTATTAGCTTACTTTAATTCCAGCTGCAAACTGGAGCAGCCATTCATCCTGATATTGCCAAATAACGAATTCAAACAAAAAAAATTGTTTCATATATGAATATGATAATTAAGAAGCAGAACATTTTTGCAGGTTTTTTTTGGATCAGACTCACCTCATGAACTGAAACAGAAGTTGACATATTAGTTAGTATATTGTTCGAGTATATCCAGCTAGCACTACCAGTGTAAGCCGATTTTCCAACGACCCTGTTGCAGAAAGAAGGATAGTTTTATAATTGTACAGTAGAAAACTTGCTAAAATTCATGATTTATGAAATCTATTTGTTATACAATTAAATATGATCGATATAACATCGGTTGCATAACATAACACAAAACCGATATATATCTACCTATGTCGTTTCAAAAAACAAAGATATATATATATCTTACCCCTTTCCCACTACATGAGAAGCACTTGACATTTCGACTAATGCAAGCTCGATTGGATATTCACCAGAAACAAAATCAAAGGTAGATGAAGAAAAAATAGAGGGCATTATCTTTTTCGAGTTTTCTAAACACAAATCTTCAATTGAGTTCCCTAAGTGATTTCTTAGCTTCAACGTGTCACAGAAGCCATCTTCCCACAGCAAAACCCTGAGAGATGCAAAGGCCATTTAGCAGTTTTTAAGGTTCATAAATGTTTTCTCTAATATCTAACATAGGAAATAAATTAAAGCACTTTTTATTTCAATCATAATTTCACATGAATCAACTTTCCTCCTACAAGATTGTAACCGTATATCAAAGATTCTCAGTCCAAATTTTCTAGACCATTAAATAATTAATCATCTTCCCAATAATTTCCAATTTGAAAAAACTAAACAAGAACAAAAAAAAGTGTGAAGAAAGAAGAACCATTAGTAAGCCACGAATCGACTTACATTTCATGTTGATGCTTAAGCTTCCAGAACACTGCATAATTCCAAGGAGAATTGAAGCAGAAGGTTTGGAGGAGGGACCTTAATAAACTACTCCCCATGATTAATTATATGAAAACGTAAATAAATGTCTACTACAAGGAAAAAAAAAAGCCCACAAATCAAACGAAAAAACAATCGCTAGCTTCCTCGATATGATGCTCGTCCAGCTTGTAAAATCAACAGATCGGCTCTTGTTGTCATTGGTGGCTTCACGTGTTTCAATAAATCCAACACATAAGCTTTCTCGCGATAAATCTTCATCATCATGAAATCAATCACTTTGGGAGGACACTGCAAAAAATTATAGATGCAATTAGCCGATAAATTGAATGACTTGCAAGCCATAATATATTTTTCTTTTTCTTTTAATAAAAACACAACTCCACAATCCATTGTTTTACTTTGTGTAAGGTTTTACCGTGACTGCTAATCATAGCACAAACCACAAAGATTAAGCCAAACAAGTTACCGATTGTTATTTGTTCGGTGCAAAACAATTTGAGGGAGCCATTGAATATATCAAGAATCCAGTTGTGAAAAATCACAAAAATAATTTGTTAACCATAGCACAAACCACAAAGATTAAGCCAAACAAGTTACCTATCGTTATTTGTTCGCCGCAAAAACAATTTGAGGTATCCATTGAGTATATCAAGAATCCAGATGTGAAAATCACAAAAACAGTTTATTTTTTTTTCATGTTTCTTTATCAGATACACAAATATAGCACAAGAAAAATTATAAACATGTACCAATCATTGAATGATAGCAAGAAACCCAAAAAGTTAGGTCAATCCAGGCAATTGAACTCCAAAATTTGCCTCAATAATAATAAACACATTACACATAATTTCACAATAACCCCGCTTTGCGTCCATAAAGCAGCACAAAATTCCCTATAAACTGACTATTTAAGCTATTCTCAATGGAAAACCCAAAAAAAAATAATAATAATAACAATAAAATAAAATAAAAAAACATTGAAATTCAACTTCACCAAAAATCGAACTTGAATTACAACAAAAGATAAATAAATAAATAAATAAATAAATAAATAAATAAATGCAACATTTTCAATTTAAGTGCTAAAACGAGAGCTTACATTGAAATTGCACTGCAAATAACAGAACCGTGTTAATGTTCGAACTCGTTGGCCTCCATTAACGATTATATCCCAAGAAAATAACAAAAAAATCAGAACTTTGAACTGGGTTTAGCTGGGTTTTGGCGTCAGATTTACGGGCAATCAACAAAATCTGATGAAAAAGCTGAGTTTGATTTTGCTCTTGTGGTAGCGCTGCTTATGAGTTATGAAGGTACATTTATAAAACAGTAAAACACGAAAAAAAAAAAATGATTAAGCAAAAGGGCGGCTGCTATAGAGTGAGCTGGCTGCTGCTGATTGACTAAATTACTTTTCCCTCAATTTTTTTTTTTTT